TAATGTATGTATGTATGTATGTATGTATGTATGTATGTATGTATGTATGTATGTATGTATGTATGTATGTATGTATGTATGTATGTATGTATGTATGTATGTATGTATGTATGTATGTATGTATGTATGTATGTATGTATGTATGTATGTATGTATGTATGTATGCATGCATGCATGTATGTATGTATGTGTGCTTCTAACCGGGAGTGACTTCCACTTATGACTGGTTGTTTATTTAGACGGTTCTGTTAGCTGGTCCGCTGTTCCGTGTTTTCCATTTTCCCTGACTAATTGAGCTCGGCCTTTCCTGTGCCCATCCACAATTGACTCTGGAGTGAGCTTTACTGTTAAGCTATGAATTCCACGTCCTCACCCCTGCTGGTACGCTTCCGGAGAACTCCTCTTACTGCGTATGTTACTTCAGCGTTTGCTTTCAATCGAGTATTCAGGTAGTGTCACTGAGCAAAACAGATGGTGGGTCACAGGTTGAATTGAGTCCGACATGTCGGATATGTGCCGGACGTGTCGCAAAGTATCATGCTCCCAGGAGTTTCTTCACTTGTTCTCCAAGGTTTTGATACCTTTTGACACCTTCCAAATTAAACCTGTTCCTCTGCCGGCCTGCATACGTGAGGATCAATAATGGGGGTTCATTTTTACCGCATTCTTCATCTTCTCCCCTGTCCGTTCACAACTGAATTGCTATACAACATTGTTTCTCCGGGTTCTCTCAGTGTCATGTTCTAGTTCTGGGGGTGATTTTCCGAAACGGATTTGAACAAAAAAGACCAGTCTCAGAAGTCATGTAGACAGCCACCAATCACAACAGACCACAGAGCTGAACCAACCAATCGACTGATGATGATTGGTTGTCACTCATGCCCAACAAAAGGGGCCACGCTGCACTCCGCTTCACAGCAACGTGTCATATCGATTACTAACGGAACATATAACCGTCTGTTCTATCTTGTGTACCAATGGTACCCTGTGAGTTTATTTTGTAGCTGGAATCAGCCTGTGAAAAAGTGAAACATAGCGTAGCCACTTCATTTTTGTTGAAGGATTTGGAAAATTTGGATCGGTGACTATCCGCTCTGAGTGACCGATTGTCAAAGTGATTAGGTTAAAATACGGAATAATGTTGTTCCAATTATTCTTTAGCCTTGCAATTCAGAAGGCGATGCTCTGAAATATTTGCACGTGATGTGGAGTCGTTTTGGTCATAAGATGGGCGGATGGATTTCTCTTCTTCCTCATTTAACTAGGATCCATTATAGAGGAGAATATCGGTTGCTCAGGTAGCGTAGATGGTCGTTGGCTTGTTCGCTGAGCTGGGCAATTTGGTTGCAAACGTTTCATCACCAGTCGAGGTGACATCATCAGTGCGTAGTTGTGCGTAGCGGTGGGTTGGTGGTTGTGCGTTCAGTAGTGTTACGGGGGTGTTGATATACGTGCTGGTAGCCGGGGATGACCTTTGACCGCGATTAGTTATTCGGTCGGGCGGTTCCATTGGTTTTTCTTTTTATCCCGTGTCCTCATTCGCTGATGCCCTTTGAACTTGGCATCCTTCGCCGTCGTAGTCTGGTCGATGTTGGAGTGACCTTTGTCCTTCCGAGTTCCGCTTGTGACCTTTATTGATTTGACTCCGAGGAGTTCCTTGTTCCTTCGTTTATGAATCCAGTATTCGGTCCTCCTTGAGTGTTCCGGTTGCGATGTTGGTCTTTTGCACGTAGAGGCGCAGATCCAGTTTGATGCGCCGGTTGACCGAACCTGCCGTAGAGTATCATGCTTCCAGAAATGTTCTTCCGTGTCGCGTGTCTCCGTATGCCAAAATTTTCACGCTTTCCAGATTGAATGTGTGGCCTTCTGGTCCTCGTGTATGGATATCAAGGACAGGGGGTCATGCCTCCTGACAGCCGCGTTGTGTTCCTTTATTCGTGTACATAATTTTCTCCCAGTTTGTCCAACGTAGAATTTGTTGCAGTCGTTGCAGTCGATTTGGTATATCACATTGTTCCTCTTGGTTTTGTCCCGGTTGTCCTTCGGTCTAGAGATTAATTTCCTTAGAGTAGCACTCGGTTTGTGGGCCACGAAGATTCCTTTTTGCGCCAATAATCTGGTTGCGAGTTCTGATATATTCTTGATGTAAGGTAGGACTACCCGTCTGGTGGCTTGTTCTTGCTGTGGCTGTTGTTGAGATGTCTTCTTCTTCAAGCTTCTCTTTAGAAAACTCCTTGAATATCCATTGTTCTGGAACACTCTGAAAAGATGGTTTTCCTCCTTCTTCCGTAGTTCTGTGGTGCTGCAGTGTGTCTCCGCCCTCTTGAACAAGGTTTGGACGCAGCTCTTTTTGTGGTTTACTGGATGATTGCTGTTGCAGTTCAGTACTTGGTCCGTATGAGTCTCTTTGCGGTATACGCAGGTTTCCAGAGTCCCATCCACCTTTCTGTTCACTAAGACGTCCAGGAATGGTAGCCGACTGTTTCTTTCCAGTTCGATTGTAAACTTGATATGTTCCAACGTTGTGTTGAGCAGCTCATGTGCGTCGTGTACTGAGTCCCGTTTCATGATGACGAACGTGTCGTCCACATAGCGGACCCACAGCTTTAGATCCATTATCGTCTTGAGTCATGACAGCATTTGGGTGGTGCTCTTGTGATTTTCGCACGAAACGTACAGAAGCACGGGAAATTTAAGAATTATGTTGTTCAGCAACGAGTGGACACCAATATTTTGTGGCTTTTATGGAGACGCTGATTATATTCCTGATCATTCAACTTCATTTCACTTTAGGACTACACATTTTCACCATTTTCACCTCGATAAGAAGAACAAATGAGGTACAGTGTATCAACTGGCTAAAGGGAGCATATCAGAAAGGATTTCTACCCGGTTACGATTCGCAGACAGAACCCTTTGATTTTGTTTTGCAGGACGGATCTTCTGCTGACTGTTTTTGAAACTGACTACTTCTGCCATCTCTAAGTAGTTGCATAAGGCGAACACGGGTGTATCGAACCACAACTGATGAGAGATGCAACTTTCCTTCTTTCTGTAGGACTTAGAAAAGAGGAAAACATAGTGTTGGAAAAAGGTTAGTCCAATTAGCGAAGCAGAAACGCAAACTGTGTTATTGTCTTTATCTTTGCAATGTTAGGGTAACTTCTATGAGTATAGTTGACTGCGGAGCAGTTTGGATTCTAAACACAAACTATTGTCTTGATCTTTGCAACGTTTGGGCATCTTCTATGAATATAGTTGACTGCGGAGCAGTTTGGATTCTTTTATTACATTACATTCTAATGCCTCTCACGCAGTGGGCATTACACGGTGATCCATTGGCCCACAGCATACTAGGAATATTTATCTTATCTGCGCAGCCGCAAGCTACGTTTGTCTGCTATCAACCGACTCCTGAAATTGCAATTGATAATTCTAGGCGTGCCTATATCTGTCCAGGCGAAGAAGACACTGAAGACCACTGGCACTCCCACAATAGAATGATTCAACTCTTTATGGAAACTATACGCAGAGTAGAAACATTTCATGTGAGTCACACTTGGACATCGTGTTTTGCCTTGGTCTTGCAAGCTGAGGACGTTTTCGTCTGCAGATCAACATGATTCTTGCCAAAAATGACGTGAAGACTGGAAAAACAATCAAGAAGCTTATGATTCGCCTTGAATGGTTGGAGATGACGTGGGGTGCTAGTTGCTTGTGGCCGAAATTTGATCCTTTAGGGATTGCCCGCTTTTTCTCAGAAATCTTTGCCGTCCCGCTTTTCAAATCGTCTCGTAGCCGTAAAAACGCCTTTGATGCATCTGACCGTATTTTTCGGGTCACCACACTCAACAAGGAACAAGAGTAATCTTTCAGAACTTTATTTCTCAGTGGAGGGGTTCGCGAACCTGAGTAATTTGTCGCACCGTCTTCCTTTACTAGGGTAAAATATGACTCTGAGATAATTCAGCAGACATGCAAACATTTTCGAAAAGCAAATTTACAGCAGTTTTTTACATGTGAGTTGGATTTGGGGTTTTATTCAGAGTTAGGCTAAATAAGATTTTTTCCCATCTTCTCTAATATATGGATTTCTTGTAAACGGGAAAATTTTTTCACAGAGGGCATC